ACACTTGAAACACTCACCAGTTGTACCAAGGTTCACAACATTTCAGAAAGAAAATAGTCCAGAAACAGGTTGGTTTAATTGCTTAATTAAATTTTAGGCTAGGTAAGTTTGTATCTGTTCATCTGTCTACAACAGTGGTTCTCAATCTGTGGGTCACGACCCCTTTGTAACAATGAATATACATCCTGCATGTCAGATATTTACATTATGATTCATAACAGTAGCAAAATACAGTTATTAAGTAGCAACGAAAATAATTTTATGGTTGGGGGGTCACCACAACATGAGGAACTGTATTAAAGAGTTGTGGCATTAAGAAGGTTGAGAGGCTTGGTGCCTGTGGCTCAAGCAGCTAAGGTGCCAGCCACATACACCTAAGGTGGCGGGTTTGAATCCAGCCCGGACCCGACAAACAACAATAATGGCTGCAACCAAAAAATAGCCGGGTGTTGTGGTGGGCACCTGTGGTCCCAGCTACTTGGGAGGCTGAGGCAGGAGACTCGCTTGAGCCCAGGAGTTGGAGGTTGCTGTGAGCAGTGAAGTCATAGCACTCTAACCAGGGGAACAGCTTGAGGCTCTGTCTCAAAAAAACAAAAAAAGAAGGTTGAGAACCACTGATCTGCAACCACCTCATGGTTCTACCTGGACTCATCAACTCTTTAAGGGCTAAGAACTTCTCTTATGCTTTTAAAAAAAACACTTAATAGCCACAGAGAATATATTAAATATTTTTATTTGGCCTGAATGCAGAAATGAAAAAAATTGAATTAATATTTACATTTGTTATTATTCATACTAGTTACAAGGAAGATAGTTAATATCTTTTGAAAATCCATTTATGATGTAACTGTCTATATATATGTAAAGTTACCCTGAGGATCTGCCTTGGTACCTTTTTTTGAATAATTGAGGTGCGCAGAGAAAGCCAGTACTGCCTATATTTCTAGACAGAAGGGGGGGGATTTTTAGGCTGCATCATTCTCAGTCTTCCTGGAGTGCTGGTAAGTTGCCCAGACCAGTGTTCTCTCCAAAGCAATAGATGCCTTACAGCCCCAGGTCACTAGTAGCCATTCTGCCCAGTTTCCGTACCCAAGCATAGCCAGTTGTTTTCCATCACTCTAGGTGGGAAGCAGGGAGAAGACATCACTGTCACTTCGTTCCATTAGACAGTGCTGGCTCTCCAGGGAGGCTGAGCACAGCAGTGAAAGGCATGGAGGCTTGACCGCATCACTGGAAAATGCCTGGAGTTCTCCCTCTCACCAGACAGGACAGATGGTCAGGGATGTGTGCATCTCAGACTCTTTGACAGAAAGTCAATATATTTTAGACGACCCTGGGGCACCTCAGACAGATATGTGACCTTGCAGTGTGAAAGTTGTCAGAATCAAAATGGAGTCACTTGTGCTAACAGAATAACCTGACAACTAGAGCTGAGGAAAGCCACGAAGAACTGGGTTCTTGCATATAAATGTCTGATAACAAGGGCTATCATAAGAGACTATAAAACCTACAACCTTGCACAAAGACCATCACGATCTCACACAAAAAATACTTCTGTGAGGACATCTGCCCAGCAACTGCCTATTCAACCTCACACTGTCATTACCTTGTTATCCCGGTAATCAAGGATCCCAAAATAATTATGTAATCCTCATTTTTCCTTTAAAAACCCTTATCTTCCTTTACCTCCCTGAGTTCACCATGGTCCGTGTATTCCCATTGTAATGTAGGATTTCCAAACAAACACCACTGTCTTTTGAGAGCCTCTCCCTGTTAGGGCATTTAGTGACTGTGCAGACTTCCTTGAACAGTGATTAAAACACTATTCACAGTAAAGTTATTTAAAAACGAAGTGACAGTCACAGAGGCAGATAACCCAAGCACAGGCCAGGCCCTGAGCTGTTCCTCATGTAGCAATTCCCAGGTGCGAAAGCAGTGCTGGTTTCTTTAGTGTAGAGTGCCAGCGGGTGCCCTCCCTGGCCTGCCCTCTCCACCCCCTCACCAGCTCCTCTGCAAGCTTCCCTCTTCTTCACCTGTGGGCCTTGGTGCCATCTGGCCTGACAGTGGGCTCAGCCAGAGGCTTCATTTGTCAGTGCAACAGCGTCCCGTCTGCAGTCGACAGTGAGCACTGCACAACCTCAGGGGCCGCCATTCTTAGGGCAGGCACATAGGATGGGCGGTATGTCTGTTTATCTTTTTTGAAAAAAGTGTGGCATTTGAAAATGAACTATTTATTTATTTATTTATTTGAGACAGAGCCTCACTCTGTTGTCCTGGACCGAGTGCCATGGCCTCAAACTCCTGGGCTTCAGGGATCCTTCTTGTTTCAGCCTCCTGAGGAGCTGGGACTACAGGTGCCCATCACAATGTCCAGCTAGTTTTTCTATTTTTAGTAGAGATAGGAGTCTCACTCTTGCTCAGGCTGGTCTGGAACTCTTGAGCTCAAGCAATCTGCCCACCTCAGCCTCCCAGAGTACTAGGATTACAGGCGTGAGCCACCATGCCTGGGCTTCTAACTACCTTTTCAAAAGGGCAGCACCGAGAAACTTACTCTTTGATCTGTCCCTCTTCCTGCTGGGCTCAAATTCTTTTTTTTTTTTTGAGACAGAGTCTCCCTATCACCCTTGGTAGAGTGCTGTGGCTCACAGCTCGCAGCAACCTCAAACTCTTGGGCTTAAATGATTCTCTTGCTTCAGCCTGCCAAGTAGCTGGAACTACAGGAACTTGCCACAACACCCAGCTATTTTTGCTGTTGTTGTTGTAGTCGTCTTTGTTGTTGGCTAGGACCCAGGCTGGGTTCCAACCTGCCAGCCTTAGTGTATGTAGCTAGTGCCCTAGCCGCTGAGCTACAGGCACTGAGCCTGGGGTAAGTTACTATTTGTTCTTTCTGTTATGTACAAATCCTCCACTGCTCACTGGACTTCATCCCAGGGCCCAATAGAGGAAGCTCTATTACCTTAAATTTCCTAAATGATCCAAGGTAAGTTTTTCCCAATTTCCATCTACTAACTCTTTCTCCAGACTGTCCCAAGTCAAGGTGCACCAAATAGATAAAATAGATGCCTCACAAAGGGATTTGCATGCATGCCATGGGGGCAGTGGGGTTGTCCTTTTAACACTTGCCACCCTGGACAGCGGAGTACACATTGCTTAGCTAGAAAGTTAGCCAATTTCTTATAGTATAGGGCCCCAAGAGAGGGCAAGAAGGTGGTTCCATAAACTAGAAGCTTCATAAAGCTACATTTAGCATCCTCTCTTTCCATGGTCAAGGTAAGGCTGCCCATAGGACTTCTTGAAGCAGCCTTACAACAACTGGGTCACCTTGTGTGGGAGATGGGATGAACCCACACATCCATTCCCCACACAGTAAGAGTCATATAAAAGGGTTTAAATGCACATCCTTTGAACAAAAGGGCCCACTGATACTGGCACAATCAGATAACTTGCGTGCTTCATGTATAACACTATTAGCTAATTCTCTTTATTGCCCCCAAACCCCTCCCTTGGTCATTACAGTTGACTCATCACACAAGAAGTGCTAATGCAGCTTCTGAAAATCCCCTTTATAACTTTTTGAAGAATCAAATGACAACTAAAGAAAGTTCTTGGTGGAGCCCGTAGCTCAGTGGGTAGGGTGCCAGTCACATACACGGAGGCTGGTGGGTTCGAACCCAGCCCAGGCCAGCTAAAATGGCAACTGTAATAAAAAAAAAATTAGCTGGGCATTGTGGCAGGCACCTGTAGTCCCAGCTACTTGGTATGCTTAGGCAAGAGAATTGCTTAAGCCCAAGAGTTGGAGGTTGCTGTGAGCTGTGACGCCACAGCACTCTACCCAGGGCAACAGCTTGAGACTCTGTCCCAAATGAATAAATAAACAAAATAAAGTTCTTTTTTTTTGAGACAGAAGCCTCCAACTCCTGGGCTCAAGCGAGTCTCCTGCCTCAGCCTCCCGAGTAGCTGGGACCACAGGCGCCCATCACAACGCCCGGCTATATTTTTTGGTTGCAGCCGTCATTGTTGTTTGGTGGGCCCGGGCTGGATTCGGACCCGCCACCTTGGGTGTATGTGGCTGGCGCCTTAGCTACTTGAGCCACAGGCACTGAGCCCAAAATAAAGTTCTTGCTGAATTCCCCCAGAGGCCTATCAGTAGCTCTATCAGGTATTATTTAAGAAAACACAAATTTAGGGTGGCATCTGTGGCTCAGTGAGTAGGGCACTGGCCCCATATACTGAGGGTGGCAAGTTCAAACCCAGCCCCAGCCAAACTGCAACAAAAAAAAAAAAAAAAAAAAAAAGAAAACACGAATTTAGATACAATACTTTTAGAATAGAAGTTGAAACTCTACAGAAAATAGACCAAAATAAAGAAGGTGAAATGTAGAGAAAAGATTTCACATAGACTTTTAAAAAAGTATACCATACAATTTTTTATTTCTAGCTTAAAAACAAAAATTACTCGGAAAATATAGGACTAATCACATTTTAAGCCAGCAGACTGGAGGTAAAGGGCCGCTCAGTGTACCTCATTGAGATAGGCTGGGACAAGTTATGTGACCTGCCCATAGGAACGGGCTCATTTGTCAGAGTGGAGGAAGGACCTGGTCTCTACCTGACTACCCTGCCCAATTAACACTGAAAGAAGATAGTAGAGTTGTACCGTATCCATTTTACTAAGAAATAAATACATGCCTTTTTAGTGTTAAAAAGATGCCTTAATTTTTTAGATATCTCCACAGAATCGTTTTAGAAGTGCATGATTTAGAAAAGTCTTTGTTTATTTTTTTAATTTTTGAGACAGAGTCTTACTTTGTTGCCCTTGGTGGAGTGCTGTTGCTTCATAGCTCACTGCAACCTCAAACTTTTGGGCTCAACCTATCCTCTTGCCTCAGCCTCCCGAGTAGCTGGGCCTACAGATGCAGATGCCTGCCACAACAGCCAGCTATTTTTTAGAGATGGGGGTCTCGCTATTGCTCAGGCTGGTTTCAAACCTGTGAGCTCAAGCAATCTACCCACTTTGGCCTCCCAGAAAAGTCTTAGTTTAAAGAAAGAAAAAATAAGCTTGTCTTTTTCCCCCAGACCCATTTTCTCTCAGAAGGCACTGACAAGCTTTTTGGAGGCAGGAACATGGAGTACGGGTGTCTGAAAAAGTCCAAACAGGAATCTCAGCAGCTCCACAGGCTCAATGTCCTCCTCCTGGGGGGCTGGCAGGCTGGACCAGCGCTTTGGTTCAAAGTGTTTGGAGAACATGTTCGTGCTCCTTTTCTGGAAATGAAACAATGAACACAGAGTCCCAGGCATCGTCCTTCGGTGAGTTGTTTTTGTCCAAGACCTCTAAGATGGGCTGAGCTGGGTCCTTTAAATACTGGAAGAGATTGAAAACCCACACTGTAATCCATTTCTCAGTTCAATACACCAGATCTTTTCCTTTAGTTTTAGTTGGTAGGGTTATATTTTATTTGGGAGTAACTTTATTATGTATACCAATGAGATAACTCTTTTCTTTTTTCAACAATAAAGCAAGTTCTAACACTCGAACCCCCTTCACCCCTCACCTCAGTAATGCCTTTAGGACGGACCCAAGGGCCAGCCACATTACTAAGCTGAAAGTGTAAGAGGGAGAGACTCTGGCAAAGCAAGTTCTTCCTCACTGCCTTCAGCTTAGGTTTGTGGGTTTTCAATCCTAAAACGTCTCTAACATTGTAACTTTTCAGTGAAGGAGGAAGTGGGAGCTCCCCTTCAGCTGTGATGGGGACACACAGGAAGAGTTCACAGCACTGTTCTCAGCCACCCCGCCTGCCTCCTTTGTCTATACTTCACACCGCACACAGAGAACTGGGGTGTGGAGCCCCTGGGAGTCAGCCGAGGTCCTGAACATAAAAGGGATGTTTACTGCACGGAACTTTCCCTCCTTTTCCTGTTATTGGGCTTAGGCTTTGCCATAAAATCACCAAGTTACCATGAACCTAGTGCCTAGTTCTTGGAAATGCTGTAAGATACTGAAATACAGTAAGCTTATGGCTGCCTAGAAGAGGAACAAAACAGAGTCATGTGAACTTATGAAACCTCAGAAGTGTAAGTGAAACATGATCGTCACTTTTATGTTAACTTCAGAGACCTTTGGTAGGTATTTCCACACTTTCCTAGGACAGCAAATGGAAAGACTGTGTGGTTTTTAATTATTTTTTTTTGACAGAGTCTCACTTTGTCATCCTGGGTAGAATGCTATGGCATCATAGCTCACAGCATCCTCAAATTCCTGGGCTCAAGTGATCCTCTTGCCACAGCCTCAGGAGTAGCTGGGACTATGGGTGCCTGCCACAACACTCAGCTAGTTTTTCTATTTTTAGTAGAGATTGGGTCTGACTTTTGCTCAGGTTGGTCTTGAACTCATGAATTCAAGCAATCCACCTGCCTTGGCCTCCCAGAGTACTAGGATTACATGCATGAGCCACTGTGCCTGGCCAGACTTTGTGTTTGAGATTCATGCCCCAGAGGAACAACTTGTAAATTCCTTCACAAGGGCCCAGCTGGTAGCTCTACCCTGAGAGAGAGGTTATTAATGCAAGTAAAATTCTGAGACATTTCTGTTACTTTATGACAGTGTTAACTACAGAGGTTCTAGCAGGAATTTAGCATTTATGTAAAGCCAGGTGTGGTGGCTTAGGCCTGTAATCCTAACACTCTGGGAGGCTGAGGTAGGTAGACTGCTTGAGCTCAGGAGTTTGCGACCAGCCTGAGCAAGAGGGAGACCTTTCTCTTAAAAATAGCTGGGCGTTGTGGTGGGCGCCTGTAGTCCCAGCAACTTGAGAGGCTGAGGCAAGAGGATTGCTTGAGCTCAAGAGTTTGAGGTTGCTGTGAGTTATGATGCCATGGCACTCTACCTCAAAGACTCTGTCTCAAAAAAGGAAAAAAGTAATGCCTGTGTTCTTTAAATATATCATGACAAATGCAGGACAAGTGTCTATAGTTCTTTCTAGAAGCACCACTACATTTTTTACAGACTTCAACCTCACCTAACATTTATTTATCCTAGATATAACTGGATGAGATTCTGTTTCTTTCTTTTTTTAAGACAGAGCCTCAAGCTGTTGCCTTAGGTAGAGCTGCTCACAGCAGCATCACAGCTCACAACAACCTCCAACTCCTGGGCTTAAGCGATTATCTTGCGTCAGCTTCCCAAGTAGCTGGGACTACAGGCCTGCCACACCACCCAGCTATTTTTTGGTTGTAGTTGTCATTGCTCTTTGGCAGGCCCGGGCTGGATTCAAACCTGCTAGCTCTAGTGTATGTGGCTGGCGCCTTACCCGTTTGATCTACAGGTGCTGAGCTGAGATTCTGTTTCTCATACCTTTACTCTGGGTTTATTTATTTATTTTTTTTTTGAGACAGAGCCTCAAGCTGTCCCCCTGGGTAGAGTGCTATGGCTTCACTGCTCACAGCAACCTCCAACTCCTGGGCTCAAGCGAGTCTCCTGCCTCAGCCTCCCAAGTAGCTGGGACCACAGGCGCCCGCCACAACGCCTGGCTATTTTTTTGGTTGCAACCATCATTGTTGTTTGGCGGGCCTGGGCGGGATTCCACCCCGCCACCTTAGGTGTACGTGGCTGGTGCCTTAGCCACTTGAGCCACAGGTGCCGAGCCTACTCTGGGTTTATTAAAGAATAATGTAAAATCTCTGGAAGCAAATAATGTGAATGTCCTCTCAGCTAGCCCCTGATCCTAAGAATGTCCCAGCCACTGGCTGACTTCCCACAAGACCCATTCCATTTTTCTTTCTCAAGTCCTTCAAAGTACTAGTAACATTCAGCGAGCACTGGTGGACGAGGCCTGGTGCTTACAGCTCTGGGTGTGCTTACTCTTCCCTAGAGCCCTGCCAAGCATGTCACCGGCCCAACGCTCGTGTTCTCAATTATCTCTGCCGCCTTTTGGAAGGAGAATGTCTTGTCCTTGCACCTGCAGCCAGGCTTTCCAGGGAGCAGAGGACTGACGCTCTGCCGCAGAGGGAGAGCTGCTGTAGCTAGTCTCTTAGCCAGGCCAGGCCATGTTGTTAGCCAACCCCCTGCCAGTTTTTTATTTATTTATTATTTTAAAAACAACTCAATTTTTATTTTTATTTTATTATTATTATTTCTAAACAGAGTGATTATCTTGTTGTTTTGTTTTTGCAGTTTTGGGCTGGGGCTGGGTTTGAACTCGCCATCTCCAGCATATGGGGCCAGCACCCTACTCCTTTGAGCCACAGAGGCTGCCCCCCCCGCCAGTTTTTTAAACAAAAAACTGTGGTTAAATACGTGTAACCTAAATTTACTGTCTTTACTATTTTTAAATGTCCAGTTCAATGGCATCAATTGCATCGACCGCATCACACTGTTGTGCACCCACCTCCACCATCTCTACCTTCAGAACTCTTCATCGAGCCAAGTGAAACCCTGTCTCCACTGAGCACCGGCTCCCGCTGCCCTGGCTACCACCATTCTGCTGCCTACTCTGGGGACCTCATATGAATGGGATCATATAGTATTTGTCCTTTTGTGACTGGCTCACTTCACTCAGCATAATGTCCTCAAGGTTCATACCATGTCATGGCATGTGTCAGAATCTTTTTCCTTTTTAAGGCTGAGTGATATCCCATTGTAGGGCTGTACCACCTTTGTTTTATGCACTTACCAGTCCGTGGATACTGGGGTTGCTTCTACCTTTTGACTGAATAATGCCGCTATGAACACGGTTGTACAAATAACCCTGTACCATTCTTAACTGACATCACTGTGTGCACAGCCCTGTCCACTGCTGACTTTTAGGGCCTTCTGGGGGCAGTGGAGCACTCTCATGTCACTCGTTTAGATGTGTGTGGACGTACCTCTTCTATTTGTGATGGGATCCTCGGTGGAGTGTGAAACCAGTATTTAATCAGGCCTCCGTATTTCAGGACCAGAAAGAAACAGGCCCCTGCCAGGACCAACAGTGATGAGAAGGTTCCCACAGAGATCAGGATGACTTGCTGAAGCTTGGTGGAGGCTACAAAGATGATAAAAAAGTGAACAAGATGCCATCCCACACATAACACAAACATCGGTTAATGTCCATCTGCATTGCTTAAGGAGTATCCCTGTCCCAGGAAAATGGACAATTTCCCCGCCCCACCGCACCAGCCTATTGTGCTTATGAAATAAAGCAAGTACCAGCTGTCTAGCGGCCCTTGATGCTACAGATCTTGGCATAGGCTCACGTTACCCGCAGCTGAGTGTTCTCTTGTCACTGCTTTCTCTCTGCATCTTCCCACCCTCCCCATCTTCCAGCCCCCGATTTCACTATTTTAGGAGTATTCTTTTCCCAGTTCAGAAAGCACAAACAAAGGTATATTTTACCATCGGCCATTGTTTCGTAGCAAGATGTGTTGCTTAAATGCCCAGATCTGATGGTGCCGTGCCAAAACAGTTGTGCCTTGACTTGTAAGCAGTATACTCTGAAGGGTTTTAAACCATCCAACAAAATGAAGTTGCTCTTATAAGGGCCTTTCACCTATTTAAAAAACACCACACCACACTTGTAAATCACCTGAACAGACACGGTCAAGCCACTTCTATCTTTTCTACTATTTGCTGACATTTCACAGTGATCACAACAAACAAAGAGTAACGACGCTGTTTTTAAAGTTACTGGCTTGTTGCAGACACGCTTTACATGTGAAAATTGGCAAGTAGTATAAAGAAAGACGCTGGTTGGCTCGGCGCCTATAGCTCAACCGGCTAAGGCGCCAGCCACGTACACCTAAGGTGGCGGGTTCGAATCCCCAGCCCGGACCCGC